CCCCCTTGACGACGACCTGTGGTCCTTCTGGGACTTAAACTTTTGATTAACAATGCCCCCACATCCCTCAGAGTCACGTAATCGCTTACAATTAAGTCAGTTTTTTTCACATCGGGGATCCCTTTGTCTTGACGAACCTTGGCCTATCGATCGGTGTCGATAGAAAAAAAATTCTCGTCGGGCTATTCCCTGCCCCTGCTACTGCCTAATCGTCTAATCTGACGTAGGTATTCATTGGAACCAATCGATGCTGTCAGAACGACACTCCTGCTATGGCATTATACTTCCGAATTAATGTAAACCGTCAAACAATCGGAAAGCTGCTCTCTATTGAGACTCTATCGATCTTTGTAAAGGCGCTTTTCGACGAGGCTCGAATGTTGCAGCTTCCATGGCTTGAGAAATTAAAAGCGTTAAAGCGCGTACTAAGTCCGACTTGGAGATTAGCTGGAATCAGTTCGATTCGGGGTGACTCTACTGAAATGAAACTACACGATCTATAATTCTATATCTACATTGAACGTGAGCAGAGCGAAACCTCATATTGAAATTCGTTTAATGTGAGGAAAAAGTAAAAATGAAATTACAAAAGGCGGTTGACTGCGCGCATTCGACGAGAAAGTTCCACCTTGGAACCACACGATCAATGCTTCTGTATGATTTCGGCCGGTATCACAGACGATTATTTTCACGTTACGATAAACGTGTATTAAAACCGACAGACCGTCGCTATCACCGCACCATCATGGTTTATCATTGAAGCGTCATCGACGTGTTTGATTAATCGGTTTGCTGGATGAATATTCACTGATCACCTCTCGTGTCTTTTAGAAAACGCATCTTTAGCGAGAACTTGAAGATGTAGCTAGGGACTTTTAAATTATCATTTTTACTGGAAATTACTGTATATTCCGGAATTACCATACTGCATGCGATGGAAACCGTCGCTACTCGTCGCGCTTTCACGTACGATTTATTTCTCGGTGTACGTAGCAGATTAATTGAAGCGTTAAATGTCTTGCGTGTGTGTGCCTGGTACGCGAACCTGTTGCACCAATTCAGAAGTCGTGATTGCAGCGTCATGCGATAATACTGCAATTCCGTAGCTCGCACTTTTCATTCCATGAGATAGAATTTCAGTCATTCAAAGATACGGGCTATTGCATTACGAAGAACCTTCACAAGTACTTTTTGTTGTTCCATCATTTCTCGTTTTTCCTTTTTTCCCTTTTTTTTCAGTACTCAAGCTCCATTTTTCGAGATCTTTTTTTGCCTTACAATCGACCTCCTTAATTTGTCCATAAAAGCGAGGGAGACTTTTACGACCAACGAGAAATCGTAGCTGCTCGCTCTTCGGAAAATTTTGCTGCTCCTTAACACGTAACGTTGACCTGCGAGTCTTAATTCGAAAGAGTGCGAGAGTTTGCAAGTAACTTTTCACTTGTTGAAATTGAAGTTGGACAATGCTCGCATTCTGCGAGCATGTTTATTAATCAATAATTCACGAGTTAATTCCCCGGGAACGTTGCCTCGAGAAAATAACAGTCAATTCGCAACATTATATTGCGCCATAACATTTCAATGTTGACTAATTCAGAATTTACGCAACGCCTCTAATCAGCTGTCTATGAAGATTAAATTAATTAATGTACGTGGAAAAGCAAGGATAGCAACGGTCTGTGAGTACAAAGGCAATGCGATCGGAAGTAAGGGAAGGTACAAAATAGCGAGAAGCGCGATAATACAGACGAGAAAATTGAGAAGAGGACGTTGAAAAGAATTTGAAAAGGATATTTCTGAATTTGCCTATTTCTGAATTTTCCAGGAGCTCGAGTAACTCATGTCATTGTATTAACTGCGAAAATTATAATTGGGTCTGCGGAGTCTTGTTTTCCCTGGATATACGTGGTGTGCCAAAATTCTTAGAACCAAATGAATTTTTCAACTTAGTGGCAATATTAACATTTGATCCACTCTATCTAAATATCCAAAGAGAAGCTACGCAGTCTGCCATATCCGTGAAAAGACTCGCGCTGTATGCAACTCTATAACATTGCCTGTAACCTAAATAGGTTGCACCGTGAATTCTCTTAATCTCCGTAATCAGGAGTTAAGAGGGAACCTACAGATATCGACATATCCGTCGGAAAGATTGCTTGTTCTTATCCTGAGCTTGGAGTCTTATTACGCCGTGTAAAAAGGATAAGCAGAAGGACGAAGAAAAAGAGCGCACAGCGAGGAGTAAGCCTTGTCAGGACGGTAGAACATCCGAGTGTTCTGTCCGTGCTGTCCGATACGTGTTGCGGGGATAGAATATACCTACGTGCGTGGAAGAATATACCAAAGAGAAAGAGCACGTATGTTCGTGTATGCCTGGTGAACGAGTTTAATACAAGTACGCGCTACGATGAAACGAGTATTGTTGAGAATAAAGAAAGCTCGCCGACGGCCACGAGGGTTGTTGAGGTGGTTGAGGTGGATACGGTAGGGAAGAGGAACAGGGGGTGGGATACCGATCTATACAAAAGCTTCAACTCGGAGCTGTGACGGGTAAGGGGGGCGGAGGGGGGTGCGTAGAGCAAGATAGCAACTGGGATGTCAGCGAGGAGCAGTGAACTGGTTACGTAGCCAGCAAGCGAGCAACCATCTAGGCTACCCTATGCATCTAGGCATCACTGCCTGTTGCCGTTCACGAGAAGGCTCTGTTTCCCTCTCTTACTTTTCTTCTATTTCATTCCGCCTTGCAGATTCTTCCATACTCTCGATTTCTCTTGCGCTCGCACATTCGATTTCCCTGACTTTCATTATTTTAACTTTCCCTGCTACTTGGCAGGCAGCATACCATCGGGGAGATGAATCGATTCTTCTTTGCGCTAAAAATAGTTATCTCTTATAACGAAGAACTCTTGCACTACTTATACACTTCTATTTGGGTAGCGTCTACAAGGGTGCTGGATCACTTGACAGTGGAATGCCATCATTTCACTTTTATTTTATTCACGGATTGCGTCTGCTAGAAATTTAGGAGAATTTACGTTTAATCAACGAGATCAAGTCAGACATTTGTATTAGCATTGTGCATCATCCAGTTTCATTTTCCCCAGTTCGTTATCAAGTTTTCTTTTATTGCTGACACTTTGCGCTATGTACTCCCTTTTCCACGTAGGTGTACACGTATCCTTCGCTTCTATACTTTTTAATGGGTTCCATCAATTATGCGGGTCTCGCGGCAATGGTTCGTAAAAATAGCGATAATCTGGACCTTTTGATCACGGACTAGATTGAATATCGGATGGCCTACGTTAATGCATTTCATCTTTAGCCTGTTAGGGCTAAAGATACTTCTTCGATATTATTCGCATAACTACATTGACAAATATTTTTTACATAATATCTCTACTTCTGATCAAGCTATTAGCGCATGAACGACACATTATTCGTGAAAACTGAGAAAACTACCAATAATCATTTTCATGCTAGATCTGAATTGAATTTGAGACCCTCCGTATGACTAATAACGCTTTTGATTTCTGGAGGATAATCGAGAAATCGAGATATCAGCACAAAGTAGATTTATCCTTCCCTCGTACCAACAAAGCCAAAAGAGATTAGAGCAATAAAGCATTGTCCAGGTATGGAAGAAGATCGAAAGCACAATGGTGCCCATCACCGAATACTCTACAATACCTGGAAGCAGCACCCTGCAGTGCTTGAACCCTCCTCCGCGCAACCCAATAGGGGGAATACAGACACTTCCTGAAGGGAGTGGAGGACTGTCTAAATATAGGTCAAGGCCCTCTGTCCTCGGGATGAGATCGATTTTTCGGAAGTCCCGCGTGGGTTGCTGCGTCGTTGCCTCGTTGTCTCGTTGGTCCTTTGCGTAACATGAATTTCACGTCAGCCAACGGCAAGCTCTATATGATTATCGGCATCTTCCCCAGAATTTCAATAGGCTTCATTTTCGTATCTGGGATAGCATATTCTGTATCTCCGCGGACGTTCGTTTACGTGTCGACGTGCAACTACGTACATCTATTACTAAGATTACACGTACACGGATAGATTTTTTCATTAATTTTTCCTATGAAATTCACGATAAAATTTACCGTAGAATCCAGTAATCGTGGAAAATCGTTAGCATTTCGTGTTACTTATTGCTTTAACACAGGATATTTTAAATCGGTACAAATAAACTTTACAGTTGACACATTAAATGTTGTTATATATAATTTTTAATGCGTTTCACGGTAAATGTTACCTGACTCAGTGTCAAATTGTCTGTTTTTTTACAACAAAAATATCTGATTGATATAACGAAAAACTGATTGATATTTTCACACCATTACTAAACGATGCAACTTATTCTCTTAACTCGATACTGATAGCGAAAATCCGATGACTAACCCACGTCACTTTCGTTCATGCATCCGCGCCTATTCTTTTTTCACCCTGAACTGACGAGCCGCTACACGACCTAAGAGTTCAGATGGAAGAGTCAACTCCGCCAAAACGAGAGCTCTGACGGAACCTATCAGCAAAGACTATAGCTTCACGGATTCTGTCGATTTTCTGGGGACGCGTAAAATTTACAAACGCAACCGTACAGGAGCTAATCTTTGAGGTCGCGTGAAATCAGCGAACGCAACTGCATGCACGAACGGGAGCGAACGCGGTAACGGAAATGCACGGCCGCTCAGTCTGCTAGGTTGAGGTAGAGAGGGTTAGAGTATGCGACAGGTAAATAGTGCGGACTACAGTAAGTAAATGATCGAGAACGTAGCAGCACGAATCGGAGATATATAATCGAAATCCCTCCACCAATTATTATAATAAATTAGATGCACTCACCGGCGCTGGTTCAGATGATCCGCGAAGGCCGAGAACTGCATCCAGGGGACACTCGAGCGGGCACTGCACTATACGACACTGCACTGCACAACACTGCACCTTCGAAAGAAACGCGGAAAATTTGTATGATTTTATGGATATTGCGAAAGCAACGCGAGAAACACAGAAGCGAGAACTTTCTATATCGTATAGGAAAAACTGCGAAAAAAACTATCAACATAAAACCCGGAAGCGCGAGACAGCTCGAGGCACCTGGATCGGTGTCCCAAGACAGACTGCTTTAAAGTGGTCAATGGAAAATAGTCAAATTCGAGAACTAATCATTCTGATTGGTCGAGGTCCTTATAGCCGATACCTCTTATTCTTTCCCTCGGGTCGTCTACTTAAACTAAGTCGAGAGCGTTCCTCAATGAATCGGTACGTGACAACTGTAAAAGTTGTTCAACTTCAGTAAAAGTTGATGTGTCATGCTTATTTTTTAATATATTTTCGTGAGTTGCTTTTAAATATATAGGTAATATGTTATGAAATACCATGATGTTCCGCGATTACCACGAGTTTCACGGTAGTTTTTAATGAAAAATTCTTTTTGTGTAAATTTTACTATTCGACGCTGAGGTACCCACGAGCATAGATGACGATAAAATATTGCTGAGACTGCTTCCATCTGTATTGGATCTCTTTCGTTTCCAGCACTGTTTCGCAATATCTTACAGAAGAGAAAATCAGCGACAATACGAGTTGAAAGCAGCCACAGAAACTGATTGCAAGACATGGATCGATTCGATAAGAGAAGCTAGGTGAGTGCTAATTCGACAGCAATCCCGCTTTAACGATTACGGGATTATTAACGATCGTGTGGGATGTCCTTTGCTTCGAACAATAAATATTCTCTGCGCAACGTAATCGTATTAGGTAGATATAAGACACAAAGCTCCTGCAGTACTAAGCGAAATCGTTGCAACTCTGTCAAACAAAATGCGTGTAAATACGAAAATTAATTAGTATTATCGTCTTTGAACAGTTTATTTTTTTCCCCCTATATACTTATGGGAAAACATTTCACGTGATCGAAATGATACTTCAGTCTTCTCACTTTTTACTCAAAAATCAAGATACTGGCTTTTCATTTACTCCCATGGTTGCAGTTTCAATAAGTTGCTTTTGCAAAAAGAAGAGCTCGAGCAGAAACATTTGCATCTGTTGCAAATCGTCGAGAGCGAAAAGACTGCAAAATGGCAGTACACTCAGCAATGCGAAGAACTCGCTTCGGAAATAAAGAAGCTTCGAGCGGAGGTTAGTAAGCGTAGATCGTCCTCGGATTTAGCTTGTTAACTTTTATGATTAAAGGAAAACAGTTCTTGGAAATGGAGCAGAAAAGAAATTTTAGGCGATTTAAGAAATCTAGGATATTTAGGACGAGGAAGCAAGGCGTCGAGGATTCGCGTTAAATTGATCGTATTAACGAGCCGTCGTCTTGTGACAGCTGTGCACCTTGAAGAAGGAGCTAAGGCCACATGCTATGACACCTGCTGCCTATTCAACTCGTAATGGCAGTAACGGAGCCCTGAGAACACTCTGCCAGGGCGTAGGCTCCACCACCCCCGGTACCGTACAGCAGGCGACGGGAGTGGTAGGGCCAGCCGGCGGTGCTTCTACCCAAGGTTCCCTAGTTGGCGGCACCACTGCCACGCCAGGACTCAGGGGAATTACGGAGGGTTCGATTGAGATGCGGAAGATTAAGAAAGTCCAAAGCTTTTTTCGGGGATGGCTTTGTCGACGACGATGGAAACAAATCGTCGAGCAATACATCAAGAGTCCACACGCGGAAAGTATGCGGAAGAGAAACAGGTATACGGAATTCATACGTCATTAGCTCTGTGTCCGTTTAAGAAATCTTATTGAAATGTTACAAAGAAAATCGCCGAAACGACGCAATCCTACGAAATCATTATCGGGCATTATTTATGTATTACTGTCCTGAAGTTAAAAAAAAAATGTGCCTGTAGTCGAGTTGGCAAAAGTCCTAAGGCCTCTGAAGTCTCAATAGGAAAGTAGCAAAGATCAAAGCTTTTAACGAATACTAATATGCACGTTGAAAATTATGTTTAATCAGCTTAGTATTCCAAATGGTGGAGGCTGAGGAAGAATACACTGAGCAAATGGAAGTTTTGGTAAGCTGTTTCTTGAGACCATTCAAGATGGCAGCAAGCTCGAAGAAGCCTCCCTGTAGCCACGAGGACGTGAACAGCATCTTCCTGAACAGTGAAACCGTTCTCTTTCTCCATCAAATATTTCTAAAGGGTCTAACGTCTCGAATGGAAAGTTGGCCGACTTTGGTTTTGGGTCTGTATTTTTTGGCAACGAGCTTCATTGATTTTTGAACCAAGTGCCACTGGAGTGGATCGCAGCAGCAGTGCAAATATTCTTAAACCTTCCTTGACGTACTTTCAGGCGATCTCTTCGACATGCTTTTACCGATGCTTGCGATCTATCAGGAATATGTGCGCAATCATCACTACAGCTTACAAGTGCTGACCGAGTGTAAACAGTCGTCTTCGTCGTTTGCCGCTCTCTTAACTCGGCTGGAAAACAAGACTGCCTGCCACGGTCGGTCTCTAGAGACCTTCCTTACTTACCCCATGCATCAGGTAACCTAATTTATTTCCAATACCCACTTTGCGCGTCCTTGGCGCTACTACGATGATTTCCCAATTACGCTCGGAAAGCATAAAATATCCGGTATCCGATTGGAGCTTTGGGGAGTAGCCGGATGTCGAATTTACCATGCTTACTGGTTATTGCTAATACTCCGGCACCTTCTTACTTTTTACGCACGCGTGTAAACGTGCACGTGTAACTAAAACCAAAAAAAAAAAAATTGTAATTTTGTAAGAACGCACTGCGTCCACTCTTCCTCTTCGTATTGAAATCTGCATAAATCAGCCGTGATTGAGGATTGGTACCGAGAGGCGATTTGGAAAGTCTGTCAATCGTTCAGTACCCTCGCATGAAAACCTCGTAACGTCAGGGTGGAACTTGAACGAGCTTTTATACTCAAGTTATTGTGGATCTCGTCCAGTGAATTAATGTATATTATTGAACTTTTAGATTCCAAGGTACATAATAACGCTTCACGAGTTATTAGCGCATACACCTCATGATCATGTTGAACGAAAGAGCCTTCAGAACGCAAGACAGCAGCTTGAAGATTTATCGAGGCAGATGCACGATGAGGTACGTAATTGTCAGCCGATTTGAACTCCAATTTTAAGATTACTCATTTTTGTTTCCTAACGAATTGCCAAATGATACTATTTTCATTATCAGGTTAGTGAGACGGAAAATCTGAGAAAAAATTTGGCTGTCGAGCGAATGATCGTCGAGGGATGCGACATACTGCTGGATGTTAATCAAGTTTTCGTGAGGCAGGGTGAGTTGCAAAGACTTCGTATAACACCGGAAAGTGATATTCTCCAATTGACAGAGACAGAATATCACGAATCCAAACAAACTCCTATTGAATTTAATTAAGCTCGTCGATAATCGAAGCTTTGATCTTACTTCGCTGTGTCTGCATACGATTGCCAATCCCATATAAGATAAGTGAGAAAATTGCTAGATAAGTAACGGACCTAGCAGACATTCCGCACGAAAGCTTCCCACGGTCGGTAAAAGTCAAAAGCTCTGTGCCAACTGTCAAGCTTCTTTTCGTACTGGAAGGTAGACGTTGCCGTAGAAGAAGGTTCTTGGAAATCCTGAAGTAAGCGCGACGCAAGCGCAGCTCTTACTGTTGCATGGAATCAATGCTTCGTATATATACATCCACACAGATGCCTCGGCCAGCAATGTGCCATCGAAACTTGGTGCTTCTGCGCAGTAATCGGTTCCAAGCAGGGCCGAACTGCTCGGAACATTTTCAACTGCATTCAGGCATGTCTGGTACTTTTCTATCGTCCAGCAAAAGTCTTTATCTTGTCTTTGATAACGAAATCGAAATGGCGCTTTCTTTTTTCTTTCGAGATTCCTTAAATCTCCCTTTGTAACTACAGGTCGCGTATCGCGTCGGATCATATGAATGTTGTGAACGAAACTATGCAGGGGCGGCGCGCGAATGGGCACCGGCTCCCCACGATCTACGTTCCTGTCGGGTACACGCACGATATTGCATCACATGGCTACCACGCAACCTCCCTCCCTGTGTTGTTAAAGGTGCTGCCGTTACAGCCGACGCTAACGTCAACGCCGGTACACACGGTATTCCCGCTCTACGTGAAACACTGGGGATTGTTTACGCGTTGCTTCTTAAATTCGCGTGGTCTGTCTACCCTGTTATTTTCATGAATATGTTTGCGAAAGTTTCTTTGAGGTTTAAGAAGGGAGAGTGTCGTGCGACTGATCAGACGCGGCCAGGTGCGGGGGTTGGTAGTATTTCGTAGTGGTGGTCAGCAGTGGTTGGCACACTGATTGCCAGTATCAATTAATTGATCATAGTGACTGCTAGATTGTGGGAGTGAAAAATTGACGATAACAACATCTAAGCGTAGTTGAAATTTTAATATTCGAAGAATGTCTTTCGAGATTCATCTTGAAACAAAGAGCCAGAAGCAGGAGGGTCCTGATTGAGGGCGTTATTACAATTTCTCTACTTGAACTGTCCATTCGTAATGGGAAACAAAAAAATGCTAGCATTCTGCTGAGAAGGATCGCACGAAAGGTAGGGTCGCCTTTAAGAAAAGCTTCCCTTTTGTCTCTATGAATTTCGACAACTTTACGATACTTGGTAGACTGAGTCTTGCAGTTAATAAAGCATATTGATTGCGTCCCAGGTATTTCAGCCTCTTGACTTGAAATTGTGCTACGAGTATATTTTATCTGGTTTCAGGTGCACTTGTTCAAATTCTGGACAAACCTCGTGGAGCACGTAGCAGACTGAGTGCAACGTTCGGAGGCAAAGGTGCTGGAGACAAGGAAGCTCTCAGGCAGTGTTTCCTGTTTTCAAATCATTTAATACTCACGACACGGCAGTCGGACGACGACGGTCGTCTAAATCTCGTTCCACAAGTTGGAAAGATACCACTTTCCGACGCAGTGCTCATAGAAGATCCGAGCGACCAAAGTGTCGCAGACGACGATGGTACGAATAATTTTTAACCAATATCATAATTTTTAACCATAATGAATTCCCTCGATGTTCTCAATCTTCGTTCTTGTGCATCTGGCGAAATGCCCTTACCAGGGATTTCGTAGTGAAGTAGAATAGTGATCGTCAACTGTTTCTAGAACTGTCAGTATGTTCGATGTCCAGTGGGATCAGTGAAAGCAGTGGAAGCGGAAGCGGAAGTGGTAGCGCGCAGCTTCAAAATCGTGACTTTAAAATAGTTCTCGACGTCAAGTCCGGGGGAACGCAGATCTCCGTTCACCTGGTGGCCCCTACGATGCAGGTCAGTTGAGTGAAAAGTGGCTTCGAGATGGTCCAGAAAAGAGCGGATTTATCTTTGACTTCCAGGAAAAAGCGGCGTGGATAAGCGACATTAGCCAGTGTATGGATAACGTGCATTTCAACGATCTTCTTCACGGGCTGCTCCCGGACACAAGTTCTGTCACGATGCCTCAGTCAATTAGGAACGATCCGAAGCTCTTCAAGGACGACGTTGACATAAGATTTAGTCGGACACTGAATTCCTGTAAAGTCCCGCAAATACGTTATGCCACACCTGAGCGACTTCTTCAGCGACTCACGGATCTACGATTTTTGAGCATCGATTTTCTCAATACGTTTCTTTTGACTTATCGCGTATTCACCGACGGCGTCACCGTATTGGAGGCGCTGAAAAGGGTTTTCTATGACGCAGAACCACCTGACGCCCAGATGCCCAGTGGCTCGCTAATGTGAGAACCAGTCACAAATTTCGAATGAATGAATTAACCTCAACGTCACTGCCATCAGAGCTGCTCTATCCCATTTTCAGATCTTTGGATGTTCTTGCCAGCGTACCTGGTGAGAGTACACACCACACTGATGATCGCAGAAGGAGTAGCTTTTCACCAAGAAGGACCAGCGGCGCTAGTTCTGTATCCGGTAAGATATTCAACATAATAATCCTTTGTACTTGTACAGTCATCGTACACTGGTAAGTGTTTCGAGGCGTATGATGAGGTATAAGTGTTGAGAGTAATACTTTAATTGTCCGATTGATCGACATAGGTGATCCTATGCTTCCAATTTGTCGCGACTGACGTGAGAATCTGGACAAGTTCGCAATGAATTTGACAAAGAAATGCGAGACTACGTATTTACTTTAAAATAGTTCGATTTATCGCTATCCTCGCTACTCGTGTTCTCTCGAGTCATTATTACTACATTCAGTTGTTTATGAAGTTAGGTGATATTTGTGTAATTGTGCCACGTATAGGATACGGATCGGAGGTGAGTGATAGTCGAGAAGCCCGCAGTCACAGTGCATACGAATCCAACATTGGCGCGCTAACGCCCAACTCAAAGGCCCACTGGCGCTCCGGCTACCGGAAGTGTGAGCTTTCATGCCCCTATTTTTTCAATTCGACTTAAACAATTCTCATTCCTCGTCTAGGCTAGGCTTACATGCGATCTCACTAAGAATCTCTTCGAAATCATCAAGTCAAGCAGCGACTGCTCTTAAATCTTTACTTCGACTACACGTGACACACCGCACTTTGCTTCTGCTATTATCATGTATCATCATTTACATGATCACCTGTTTATACACAACAGTAACAGCGACAGTCTGAAGATTTATCTTTTCATCTCATTTCATTGGCCATAGATGACTGTGACCTGTAGTTGTGCGATTAGGTAAAACTCTCGAATGCATGTTCTCGCGAACATTCGATCTACTGAAAATCAGTCTGACCAGTAAAAATCAATATCCAGTCAATATCAATGTCATCAGTGTCAATACTCTTAGTCATTTCATAGGCCAGAATCGTCGGAGTATCGATAACCCCATACATTTTCTTGGAAAATTTAGTGGAAGAAGAGCAGCAATTGGGTTTAATCTCGGAAGCACCCGTAATAGTCAGGCAGTCCCCAGGACCTTCTTCTGGCCGACAATCGCCAGCAACACCTCGTCGTGTCGGGATTCGTGCCGATAATAATGCACAGGACGATAGATGTCTCTTGACCATTCCGAGGGTGATACCGGTGTCGTCCACTGCAGAAACACTGACGGGTATGACTCTTCACGAAAAATGAAGTCACATTCTCCGACGAATTTCCAATTGGTTGGTTTACTGTTCCTAAAATTCGTCGAATGCTTGCAGACATGACAATGATCAACGCAAGTTCTCCTTCGAGCAATCACAGTTCTGTGACTCTGGTGGGCTCGACTGGTTCGGGATCGGGCTCGCGCTCTGGCTCCGGATCAGATCCGGGTCCCCAAGACGGCGGAGGCGGTACATACTCGCAATCCACGTTAGAGAACACAGATACACCGGTACCCAGTGAAACGCGCACCAAAGACGGTTCGTAGAAGCACACAAGCGGAAATACACTTGTCGCTTAATCTCTCCTGATTGGAACAAATTCCAATGTCTTCCGTCGTGACTCCTTGGCTGTCCTTACAGAAGTTCAGTTCGTCTATGATCAGCCGGAAACACCTTCGCACAAATCTTCATCCGATTGGATGCTCGCGAGGTCCCAGCGTTCCTCTCGTGGAAGACGTCGTGACTCTGATAAGGAGGAATCATGGACGGACGGCGAAAGCACTCCGCCGGCCATTCCTTCGTCAGCCACTGCTGAACTGTTTCAACAGCACAGCCGTCATGGCAATTATCATGAACATCATTCGATGGAACACAGACAATCGATCGCATCTGCACCGGGTACGGCTATGAGGAGCGGTTCAATCTCTACAATGACGGGGGTTCGTTTTCCCGAGCACGGATTATCTCTTAAACCTTTCGCATCCTTGCTCAACTCTGTTTCAAAGATTTGGTTAAATTGCAGAATTACTGGGCAGCAAGACGCTCAATACAAGAGAATGAGATGTGCTCGGCATCGCAACAATCCAATTTCCAGCATGACTCTCAGCAAGTTTCCAGCAAGGCAGGAGTAGTTATCACCAGTTTCCGACAGAGTCATCGAAGGTCGGTTTGCACGGGCATTTTGGGGCTCAGACTATGAATTCGTATTGAAGTATAACAAAAAAAGAAGAAAAAAAAAAAAAAATATAGAGACGGCGGGAGATATGCGTCGCTCAAGGGCGTGATCCTTGCGTGATCTCCGTGTCTCAAAGTCTCTGTATACGTGTCTACGAAAATTCATCAATTTCATTGGATAATATCGCTACTGAATGTTAAGTGTATTATAATATCCATACACGTTTCTTACCTCTCGTTAGCATGGATGCTTCTTTTCGGTATAATACTCAACCTCGTTTCATATGTTCACTTCTACTGTCGTCTCCTTTCTTCTATCTCGATTTCCCTCCCTACGAAATACGTTGCCTTTTTATACGAAACCATTGGATATAATATAACTATTAACCCAATTTTCATATTGGCAGTACGCGATAAGCTATCGAATAAGTTAGATTCGTCTTGACAAGGTCTCTCTGATTAGTCCCAGTTGGAATACTGTCAATTTTTGAGACACTGGCTAATGCTTTTCTCGTTCTCTCCGATTAAAGTGTGTTTCATGTGTTGTTTTGCGTCATTTAAAGCATTGGACTCGAGCCTCTATGGTAAGTACGAGCATCCTTTAGTACGTAGTCTCATGTGGCGTAAAAGGTATATTGTCTATTGCTTGATGTCTGCTTGTCACGCTTCGAATTGAGTCACACGCTTTTTACGGTATCTTGTTGAAACGTTCTAGAAGTCATTACTGCTTCCTCACCACCATAAAAAGAATGCTTTCGAGCAGCTTCTCTCTTTCCTTCGTTTGACCAATCAAGCGCAGTCACGTAAAGTTGTAAAATTTTATTTCGACAAGGCCGAAATTTTTCAGCAGTTCGAACGACGAATCCTTCTTCCTCGAGTGTGTGTTTACACAGCCACTATCTATCGGTAACGTGCAAAGATATATCTACCTAGACGGTTCTTGTATGCGACAAGAGGGCAGATTATTTGCTGTTCCAGCCTTATAACGTAGAGGATTCGTGCACTTTGAAATTCAAATTGGACTAGGGCAGCCAGTGCAGAAAGATGCTCGGCTAACGATAAACAAATTTCAGCTTATCTCGAATGATCGATACATACATAGCAGATTGCAGCACAGCCGCACGTAAGATTTATGATGTGGGGGCAAATGCATAAAAAAAAAATTGGAAAGATTTGATTGATTAGATTAATATTTTGAGCCTCTGCCAGCACCGAACAAAGCAATTTGTGGTGATCAAGCAAAAATGAATGCGTAATCACTGATCACTAATCAGCAATAGGGCTTTGGAGTAGGACTTAATTATAATGTGCTAAGCATCTTTGCGTCTGACCATTCAGGAGCAGCACGTCGACTGCCGCAGCCGCATTCGCAATCGCCACGTCTGCCTCCAGTAATCCTCCTGACAAGGCGCCAGGCCGGTGCAGCTTCGGCGATGCTAGCGGACGCAGCGGCTCATGTCGCGATAAGAACAGACGCAAGGAATCCGTGATGTCAACCGCTGCAACGATGAGGGTTCTGAACGTTCTTAGGCATTGGGTCTCGAAACACGCGCAAGACTTTGAGCTGGACCAAAAATTGAAAAATCTCACTATCGAGTTCTTGGAAGACATCGTATACAGCCCGAATCTTTTGCCAGCTGAACATAAAGCTGCTAGTCAACTACTGAGGCTCATCACCAAGGAGGAATCTGAGAGCAACAAAGCTGACTTGAAGAAATTGCTTACTCCGCCAACGGTAAGACAAACTGAATTTGGAAAATAACTTATTTATTCCACATTTACGGTATTTCTCCCTTTTGCGTTTCCCAGACGCAAAGCAAGGAAAGCATCGAAACTCTATCGGCACTGGAGATCGCGGAACAGATGACTTATCTGGATCATCAAATTTTTATATCCATCGCCAGCGAGTGAGTATTTGAGATCCGAGCTCGCGCAATTGAATTGACTTAGGGTAATGCATTTCTTTTGTCTTCTATCGAATATAGAGAGTTTCTTGGACAAGCGTGGATGAAGACGGATAAAGCGACAAGAGCACCTCACATTATCCTTATGACTAAAAGATTCAACGAAGTCTCGCAGCTCGTAGTGTCAGAAATTGTCAGGCGATCAAATATGTCGGCGAGGGTCGCCGCAATTGAAAAATGGGCAGCGGTTGCCGATATAAGTCGAGTTTTACACAATTACAATGGAGTACTGCAAATATGCGCTGCGTTCACAAACAGCAGCGTCTACAGGTTAAAGAAAACTTGGGAAAAAGTATCGAAGACGGTAAGATCGTCAAGTAGATGCTCTACATAGTATAACAATCAATAATGCACGAATCAATATGAAATTGGAAAACTTTCTACAGACAAAACAAACAATCGAGAGACTTCAGAATATCGTATCGTCAGATGGCCGTTTTAGAAACCTGAGGGATGCATTGCATCGTTGCGACCCACCCTGCATCCCTTACTTAGGACTATATCTGACAGATCTCTCGTTCATAGAGGAAGGCACACCGAATTTCACTGACGACGGTTTGCTCAACTTTTCAAAAATGCGAATGGTCGGTACCGTTTCATCTGATACTTATAATTTTTTTTCGTTTCGATCAAACTCCTGTTACTTATAAAGCAATCATTTTTTTCCCTTCAGATTGCTCACGTAATACGTGAGATTCGACACTTCCAGCAGACGCCTTACAAAATCGAGTTGATTACAAAGGTGACCAACTACTTGTTGGACACCACGCTGCTTCTCGAGGAGGAGGACATGTATCGCATGTCCTTGGAAATAGAACCAAGAACTTCGAGACTAAGTAACGCGGCTCTTATTGGACTGCCACCCTCGATCGGCAGCCCGACGACACTCAAAAATTAAGAGGAGAATCAAACGCTTTCGGTTTGATTCTTCGCCAGGAATCATCGCAAAATGTACAGAAAGCAGATTGAGCCAAAGAGGTGTCTGAGAGGTGAGAAGCGACGTTCGCAAAGTAACAGGTAAGAGTACTCTGGGTCGCCGAACTTTCGTAACACGTAACATCAATTTTATTTCTCAAAGAAATAATGCGCTATTTCATCTGTCATCTGTGATTTCCAAGTATCTGACTACTGAAAGATTCTACTGGGTTGGTATTGGATTCAATCGTATCCGTATCCAGCTAAAATCATTAAGAATCCAAATGAATGAATCGGTAGCTTTAGAGCTGATTCGTCGATAACACTTCAAGAGACAGTTCATGGGGAACAATAGGTCGACATGAAAATTGGTCAATTAGTGAATTTCTTTAGAAATAAACGATCCAATGCCAATGTAGTATTTGACAGGAAAATTGTTCGAAGAACACAACACAAGTTATTGAATCCACAAAGCCGCGACTAGGTGCAGGTAACTTTGCGTCAAGTTTCAAGTACCATCAATATAGCTCGATCTATTTTCATTTTAAATAGAATTTCCATTCGGTTATTGGTTCCTGAATTAACTCTCATTCGTGTAATATTTTTCGTTTGTACGAATTGGACGAATAATCTGAAATTGAAAGGAGCAGCATGGCGCGTATCGCGACGGATCGGACAGTCAGGAAATACAAAGCAAGGGGAGCAATACGAGTTACGTACTGGCCGATCTAAAGGACGAAAGTAGAAGCGGTAATGCTAGGTTACCGAGACCTGGGTAATGTATACGTTGCTGAGATTTCGACTATTGGTTTTCAGTTAACGACAGCTCAACTCGCAGTATTACTACTTGAGATATTTAAGAATAAGTTTATCGGAGTTGCAGTGAAACTGTACCATCGAATGCTGTGAATAAAACGAGAAGGCAAAGGGGTCGAGTGGAGTTTAATGGAGATTGTGTTTGACAATCAATAGCATAGAGAAGCTAATCCAAACGTATAGACGGCAGTCCTTAAGCAGAAGCTGAAAATTCGACTCTCAGAGGGCCTACCAAAGGCCGATACTTTCTCGAATATCGCACTGATAGAGAGAAAAAAAGAAAAAAAAGAAAAAGGAGAAAACCCTATTTAAAAAACCGCAATTGCCGGTTAAACATATCAAATTAATATGATGATTTCGAGTACCTCTATTTATTCCTATTCTTAACCGTATATGCAACTATTAATTAAGGCTGCTGTGGTGTGGAATAGCATTGTGTGGCGCAGCATTTCGCGATGAACATCGCTCGAAATAAATAGAAAATTTTCTTAAAAATGGAGAAAATTATCTCCGCCGACTAGAAGACTAGTCGAGCGATGTGTCCCAGCTGATGCAACTTTACACATTCCTAACCTACACACGCATGTATACCTCACCTCTCTATAAATATTATACATATACACATATATTATATACATAATTATTTGTAAATACATATATACTATATATATTATACTATACACATATTACGTCACTACATCGTTTAATTATGACTATCGTTGTTGACCGATTTCATCGTATATGAAGATTTACCATTACCGAAGGTATTTATTATTAATGTTAAGCCCGTATATGTTATTATATTGTGGCATCTAGAAAGTTTAGAATACAATCTACTTCTCGTTTTTAAAAATCGAGGCGAGAACGCAAGCAGCAACAGTGAAATTGCTTGTTCCGACATCTACGAGGTTAGCCTTTCGTCCTGCTGCACGTCGCTTCACTCTGCTTCTCCTTCGAAAAAAGGAACGACAAAGCATTGCGACCCTCCGCGCCAATTATCCGTTTCCCTCTTCGGCTTCTTTTCTCGACTTCTTATCGTCGAGACGTGCACTCACTCCTACGCGATTATATAGATACAGACAGAGACGGGATACTTCGTTTTTCTTGACTGCTTACTTTCTCGCCTCCTCGACTCGCTCGTTGACTCGCTCGATCGAAAGATACACCGGCACGATAAATACCGCTGGTCAGTTATTTTCTGAACGTACTCTTATAGGTTTCTTTGACGACGATCTACGACACCTACGATCCCATGTCACTGGAGTGCAAGGGAAACGCACAACTTCTATCGCGATAATTGATTGTTAACAGGCCGGTCCAACAATTACTTTACTGTTGGCTGTTTTGAATGTGAAAAAAAAAATTTTTTTTTTAATTAAAAAAATTTCTGTCTGGTGAGCGATGGAGGATAAAGACTGACAGATACAGTGGGAGATTAAGAAACAGAAAAATTCTACAAGTAGGAATAAATTACGTTGAATAAGTTGCTTGCAGAAATTCGCGAGAATGGAATCAGCTCTTTTTTTTCTTGGAACTATGTACTACCATGCCACGATGTCAAACTTGCCGGTCAATGAAAACTTGCGAGAGCTTTACTACTATGAATCCAATCGTTGCGAGTGAAAATGAAAAATATTCTTAATATTCTGATTTCTGAGCTTCAAAGTTTTGCCGACTGCACTACGATTCGTATCCGCTAATCGAGTTATCAGGAAATATCAGTGATTCCCACAGTTCCCATACGTATAACAACTCTCTGACTCTGTCGGTCTACTTTCAACTTCTTGAATGAATGATTTAAATTTGAAAATATATAATTTTTTTTGGAAAATGTTACACTTACGACGGCGTGAGAGCGATTCAACGACGACAACCTATTGTCTTTCTAGTTGTTAATGAAAATACAAATCACAAATCATCAGCTGGTTGTGAGTAAACGTTAACTACATACTGAAACGTAGACATTCGTAATGTACTGTTAAACGGGGTGATTTGTTGCCTAGGATAATTTTTAATTATATATTGTCCGTTCGATGAAATCGAACCGTTGGCTGCTCATGGCGGAATACAAAATGTCATTGGCACTTTTTAATCGTTATTATCTTGTAATCGCTTTCAAATCTCAAGACGCTTCAGGAATTAATCGAATTCAGTCGACTGTTTATTCTGGACCGTTTGATAAAATGATATTCTAGAAGTTAAAAAAAGTTATTGAAACGTTACCTCCCGATATCGTCTTGGCTCTCCTCCACTGACTCTTAAGATTTTCTCCGAATGCAATGCTAATGTCGCTGCTTCGAACACTCAAGTTTTCGTTAAAGTTATTTCTCGAGTTTCCATGTCGACATTCAATGAACTTGATATTTTTCTGAGTTAAATGAAAATCTGTCAACTTGCGAGTAAGTACAGAAATTGGAGAGAGTTCAAGAGAGGAAATTAAATTGGAACCTGGTCTCCCGTCTTGAGTTTTGAATTTCGAATCCTGAATCTTATCGTTTCGTTCAAGGAATGTTTAAATTTAACGGATAAGTAATAATAATAAATAACGAGCATAAGTAAGAAGTACGTTGTCTATCTCTTGAAAGATCACGAGGGCATTCCACGTAATAATGAAATGTTCCGAACCTTTACAAACTGTACGCTAATCGTACGTTGATACTGTCTATTACCTGTCAAGCATTTTATATCTCTTGTCTAGTATAAATGAAATAGAAAATATTCTTCTGTACACGCGATCTTGTTCAGTTGCGAACCACCACCATTTTTCCCCGTGCGACGTTATTTCGTTTATTTCGTTCCACTCTACGACCCAGAATGAGCTACATCGATTTTCGTAGCAGACTCACTCTCGCGCAATTGTTGTCTCGCTCGCGTTCTTGCTCCATAGCACCGTAGGAGTGGAGCGGTAGACGCGGAGCGGATTATTGCTCCTATGGTATAACGTTTCTCATGAACTGAAACGGGCGCACTAGTTTAAACAGTTCGAGTAGTCAGAGCTCGTCGAGCAGCTCGAGCAATTTCAGTATTTTGGGCTTCTAAATTGACAGAACTCATGCTCCCACCGTATCGAAGTCTTACGCATAATCACGCTGCTGACATACGAATCGGCCGTGTGAAGCTAGGAGTCAGCCTGTCGCTTCATTATCAGTTTATCACACTCGAACTACAGTTCTGTCAAAGGATTCGGTTAAGAGGTACCAATGCACTGCTGTATGAAAATTAAATAATCGGGAGGAAAAATATCTCCCGGCCTACTGATAAAGAACCAACAAGACGATATCGCCAGACCGAGTTTTCTCTCGATGAAATAAAATTTCAATAACGCTGAGCTTCTTTACCACGAGCCGCAGGCTGGCGCAAGCCAAGAACTAGCCGGTAGCGAGACCGTACAGCAGCGCACAATGGATTCACTGCCGAGTGCAGCCCGTCATCTCTCACGCAGTATTTACTGTCGTACTGCGTTGAGAAAATCATGAATAAAGAAAAGTTTTCCTCGTGATAAATAACGCTCTCTGCACTTGGGCGTCTTGCGCGTCCGGCGTAATAATGTGGTTCAGATTCCTCAAGACACCGATTTGCAGAGGTTTTTTCTTTTCATGCGTTTGCCTGTTGAAAGAGGACTCTCTCCATTCTTAGCCCTGCCGATGCACAGACACGCTTTTAAAGGTATTAAAATAATCCATTTACATGTACTCTTTCTCTGCGTTCTACACGAGTTTCCAAGCTTCCAACTTTTCTCGCTTTCTTCTTGCCCGTGCTCTTTAGTGTGCTTCCCCAGACTCATTCTATTCTCCATATTTCTGTATCCTTTCCATCTCTTGGTTTCCCTATAGTTTTCACTCCTCTCATTATTCGGCAATCTACCGTCTCTTGCTAATGCACATAGTCGGCTGTGCCTGACGCTATATTCTTCTACCACTTCTACCACTACTATCGCTACTATTGCAGTAACACGAATACTTGGTGTCGACTATGTATAACAATTTTATATGTGTGAATTGCATTTCTCGGTCTGATACCGCTAGCCCGCTAGCCAAGAAGTAGATCTTTAAATTTGCACATCGGTGTGAGAACAGCAGCTTTAGAGGAAACAATCTTTTGTGAATCTCTTTCCCGGTTGCACTGACTTCTGGACCTTTTCTCTCCTGTTTCTTATGCTGAGATATTGAATAAAGGATACTCTGAGCATCATGTGGATAATACAAATAATTTAAGTTTAGTTATATTCGGTTCTATTGCTCAGATGATTTGTTGGGACATTTATGACTGTACTTGTAATGTCCAGGACAGTTAAAGAGAAAAATCTCTCTAGGCCACTCTTTTGTATTTGCTCATCTGCATAACGTTGTATGCAATTAATACCTGGTAATTTTCTGCTAATTACTTTTACTTTAATTCCAGTTTATATAGTTTGTATTGTACATACTTACGACATGAATTAATCCCTAATGGCATTGTACTGTGCACTGGGAGTAATTCTTACTGAAAATAAACGTCAATTCTCATAAATTTCTTCGGGCATTCAGATTGGATTATGTATTTCAGAGTCTCTTGTTACTCTTATTCATTAACGGCATGCCTCCTTCGGCTCTTCCTTCCCCTCAATAATTCGGTTTTATAGAACCGAGCTTATTAACACGTGCTCTTATCTTCGAAGGTAGGTTTTATTACAGGTCCAGCTTATAGCCAGCATACTATAAACAGAAACAGAAATTACGGACCCATGACCTTCTTAATGTCCACGGGTCAGGCCAAATGGTTAATGTCCGGTATTTCGGACAGCAGGGTCAAAATCGGGAGAGTTCCGGTTGCGTCGGGAGGCCTCCCTCTTCTATAGCGTGTATTACTCGAGCAATTTCCTAAAGCAATCTGCATCGTGATAAACGGCCAACCGTACTTTAGTGTGCACACGAGGTCAGGCTAAAAATGTTCGGGCAGCTGAGATTGCCAGAATGAGTCGCAGTCGAGTCCCCATTCGAGTCCTGATCCTCCTACTTCTACGGCTCTACAACCCCCTATACTCTTATACACTTCACTCTCTCATATCCTGTCAGAGTTTCATATTATTTCCTGGAATGTTAAAGCAGAGCGTCACACGTTAACGAATTCCTCGAGGCTGACGCAATCGGTCCACGGAACCATGTTATTAATAAGGACTGATATCGTCAGGCTTCCTAAGACTCTTGCGATATTTGTCAAGCTAGTCGTTCGATTAATTGATCTGCAAGGAATCGATTCTCGGAGCCTTCACACATGGGACTCGCTCATTCGAATCAATCGAGCCAGTCACTGTTCTTACCGTCCCTGAGATACGTGACATTTCATTTAATTAGTTGTCAATAGAATCGGTGATTGATAAGAGAATCTCCAGATCTCATTCGAGAGAAACTGAACCTCAGAGGTAGTTCTTCGTTATTTAATTGAAATTTCTTCTCCGAACGTATCTCGCGGGGAAAACTTCTTTTCCTCCTATTCCTAGCAACTTTCTTGGCATTCGGTTTTTTTTTTTTCTTTTTTTTTTCGGAGTTTCAGGCTTTTGTACGTACTTCATCTTCCTCAATTCCTGGACCTATCGTTTAATTCAACTTCAAGTCAATTTGCTATTAGTATAATAGAATTTCTGAGAACACACAGTCACGCACGCGTCGGGCCTAATTATGTAAAATTAACGCGTTGCAATGAGTCTGTTAATGAGGGGCGATGCAGTACAGGTATTATTACGGAGTTAACTCGAGGGCTTAATACGAGTAAATAATGACTGTTACAATAATAATTCCTGCGTTATTTTGTACTTGGATAGAATAATATGAAATGTTGAGCCGCGATACATATTTATGAGCGCGCTATGTGAATGAAAAAGTGAAGCGCCTGATTGTCATGGTCTGTTTTTCTGTTTTGCTCAAAAGCTTTAGTTTAATAAAAATTGCACTACGGTCTCTACAGTAGTCGAGCGGACGAGCCTGAAGTTCTATTCTATTACTTGCTGACTTTCTTCACGCGATGGTTGAATCTTCAGAGAACAATTTGATAAAAACAATCTACACGAAGTAAATACATTGCTTCGGCTTCGACGGTATATCTATGGAGACGAGCTGTGGGATTAATCGAATGAGCGAATTACAATGGGAAGAGAGGCTTGTTGTTCTGTTGGCCGTTGTTAGTGAATTATATATGCTGCCATCCATGCATAGCAGACACCCAGCATTTAAAAGCCGACAATCAATAGGGGTCGTTATTCTCCCCTTTGCTAATGATGTATCTGTTTTATAAACTTCTGTCGAGGGATAGAACGTCAAAAGCATCATCCATCTTCGCCAGAGGCGTCTCCCGCATGCTCGTGATACGTTAATTATTCGGAATTCGAGCCTTGTTATAAAGAGATTTTATACCTAAGCTTGAGCTTAACGATTGTTCAATAAACTTATCACTTGAATAATGACACGTTCGCAGCTTTATCTTATTTCAAAGAATCTCCCAGGACAGCAACCTCCTCCAGCGAAAGCTGCTCCAGCCAGATAAGTATACGTAGATGGATAGGATCGGAAGAATATCGGTAGGAAAGGCGCGAAAGAAGAGAATCACGCGGGACACGAGAATGGGACTGGGACTGGGACTGGGAATGGGAATGGGAATAGGAATGAGGAGGAGATTGGATAGAGGCTCAGAGAGATTTGATTGCGAGAGGACGCGATAGAGAGAACTGGGCAGCTCGTCCTAAAGGATTCAAAGCGATTGGATCTGACTGGGAAACGTTTTGCGCGGACAAACCGTACGGATAGCCATAAAGTTTCCGCCGGAATTCTACGTCAACGTCAAAAGCTCCCGTATATTCCGGATCATTACTCGATGCTATGCCACCCGAGGAGTTTCGTGGGACCGTGTTGCTCGAAGCTCAACATTTTCCCTGATGCACCCGTGTACACAGTTCGAGCCAACCAATGATTTGCGGCCAAATATAGGATCAAGCAATCGCTGATTAATGGTCCTTCGCGCGTGACACAAAGCACCACTCTGCAATTTCATCGTTACACCACAGCGGGTGACGACGGCGGCAGCAGCGTCCCTGGCGTTAACGGCGACGGTTCCACGTACATATGCGTTTCATCGCGATCAAACAATTTTGGCAATAAACCAGCTCGATGTGCTCGATGTGCTCGATGTGCTCGATGTGCTCGATGTGCTCGATTCGGCTGTTATTTGCCACGTTGGCGACATACGCACGTAACCTCAGCTAATGCGTGTTTTATCAAGCATCAATGTTTCTATTTTCACGGGACGCTCGTGGTAGTGTATCAGCATCTACATCAGGAGAGGAATAAGATTCGTTGGTATGCAGCGACGTGTTGCACGGTGTGTCACGGTGTGTCACGATGTGGACACTCATAGTGCACTACTTACACCACATCCGCAACATCGGCAGACAGATCTCTTGTACAAAGTTTGTGGACAACACGAGTACCACGTTCGACCCGCTGCTGCTGGTTCGTCCGCTACAAGCCTACCCCTGTCTATCCCCGGTTACCCCCGGCTACCCCCGTTTAGCCGTGCTCACCATTTCCTATCCCCACGCACGCAACTCTCTGCCCTCTCTAGGATAACGAGAACAAATTGGACCGTTACTAGTTGTGGCCTCGCTCGTGTGAGTTTTAATGAACATTCTCTTAATTAGAACCATAATTATGAGCTGAGCTAGCACTGCGAATTCTGGAGTCCAGCAAATTTCCTCGT